TTCCTTTTCCATTTCGGTTTGTAGCTAGTATAGTGATTCATAATTTTTTAAAAAGTCGTTTTGGACCGTATTTTCTACACTATGTAAGCAGGGCTCGAAATACATTTTCAGCTTATTTATACTCGCATCTGATACTCAAAACTAGTACGATAGAAAAGTGTATTCCAAGACACTAGTATCCGTTTTTCAATAGTTGTTTTTTGCAATTTTTTGCAATTTACGGCATATACTTGTTGATTTTGTAGCTTCTTTGTAAGATTTACAATATGGTCACAATTTTTTTTTTGGGGGGGGGGGGGCTTGATTGTTACATCATTTTCGTACATGTTATCATGTGGCAGCAAAGTATAACTTATGTTTTAAAACGTCAATAGCAGTGTACGCTCATATGACAACGCTATAATGTGGGTGCAATATGGCAATTTTATGTGGCTCAACAAAGAGAAAAATGTAGGATTGTATGTTCATATAGACAACAATACAAAAAGGAAACAAGACTTCATTGTGCATGGTTGTTTATTCATTGACTTTTCTACACAAAGCGATACATATTAAAAAGTAGAAAAAAATTTATACTCAGAAAATTCCCAATAATGCCAAAGTTATACATCATATATACATACAAATCGGCATGGCATTTACATTACGGTCCAGTATGGTTACATTTGCTTAGTTTTGGTTATCATTTAACTCTTCTGTACAGTAGTGTAACATTTTACCCATTATTGGCCAATGTCACAATCAGCAGCAATTTTACATTGCAATAGTTGATGACATTTATCTTTCTTCATACAGTCGCGAAATGTTAAAATATGATTTCATTTTTTAAATGATCTTGTACAGCATTGATGTAAATTTTGAGAGATTATAACAATGTGACTCTGATACAGACATACCCACGAATAAAACATTTCAATAATCTCAATTTCACTAGTTTTTGTGGACAGTGATTGTATACAATTTTCGTTTATTTTACAGCAGATATTTACCCCCCACACGTCACGTATCGTAGAAAAATTCTTCAGGTCCTCATTGTGATGCTTTTCAAAAGCCATTGCCATGGTATCTCATCAAATACAGAACATAGCATTTTTATGACTCCAAAACAAACTAATATACAAGTAAATTTTTGTTTTTCTACATTGGTCATTGCATACAACATGTTATGCACTAATACAATATTAAAGTAAAGTAAGATAAGTACTAATTGATACCATCCTTCTGAATAGCTTAATACAGCCATTCCTTCCAATGATATGCAATTAGAACTTAATAATGTAATAATTGTTGACACAATGAAATTAATTGCTTACTACATAAAACAACCATAGTTACTGTAGTAAAAGCTATTTGTAGATGACATGAGTATGTAACCCGATTTAGTGAGCAGTGAAAACTACTTCCATCTACTAGTAGGTTTTTACTTTCCAACCGTTAAAACATTTTGTTCCACTCAAATCTAAGCACAGTACAAGAATATTCCAGTTCGAGTTCACGAAATGTTTACTGGCACACAGGTCTATTTCAAGTCTTTTCCAAAATTGTATAAGATGCAAACAGCACAATGAAACATGATTTTATTTTTGATACTTAAATTATTTGTGCTTTCTATGCCGTGTGCTAGGTGGCGCACATATGCTACCTGTACTTTCTGTTCCTGAATACGTAAAAGTGCTTTTAAATTGTTTTCCTTATGATTGCTCTAGTTTACGAGGACGTGTTTCCTTACTAAAAATGACCAAAAAAGAACATAAGCCATGATTGTAAGAAAAAAAAAATACAAGCAGTGTTGCCCAAGGCTTATTTAATTATTTGTTATTATCATATAGCCAGGTCACTAAAGGCAAAAGTCCCTAAGACGAGAAAAAAGGCAGCAAATCTCTTTACTCATTATTTTTTTACAACAACATGAACAGCGGCCTGAAGGCCTGCATAAATAAAGAATGGTTCAAACAAACAAAGCCAGCCACATGGCGTAGCTTAGGTTGCTTCTGGTTTGTCTCACCAAGAAACTGTATACTAGTATCATAATGATTGTATCTTGTATATTTTTGTATATTGATTTCATACTGTAACAAACTAATACATAATATGTCCACCTGCCCCTGTATGTTTGGAAACTAGAGAATAAGTAAAATAGTTGAAAGGATTAATGAAGAAAAAGGATGTGCATTTAATGATCAGCCAATTATGAACACTTGCAGGAATGATGGCTCTCAACTTTTCAAGTATCTTCTTACAATGTCGGCGTCAGTTTGAATTGACTACATAATAATAACTTTCATGGTACGAATTGGCTATGTCATAAAATAAAGCTAATGACCCGTTCTTCCCCCGGTGTTTACGGTAACGTAACGCCTCGCTCACTCGGTGGTTTGTTCGGTGGCTATACTTCCATAGGTCGCTGGTCAGACGTTATGTCACAATAAACAACCTGAGGTGGGTCATTAACCCTTAATTGTTAAAGGCGTGTGCTGCAGCTTCTACGACTTGCAATGTGGCTCCCACTTTCTTCACTTGTATCTTCCACCTGTCTTGTTTGGATAGACGATGTCTCGCAAGGAAAGAATGGATCATTGTCATTTTGGACGCTTGCAGATGAACACGTTGCAATAAAGAAAGATATAGTACCTGTTCAAATGCAGCAGAGTTGAAGACTGTCGGTGACTGATACTGGGGGGAAAACGTTCAACACTAATTTAGAAAACTCACTTTCTGCTTACTTCATGAACATTATGGGAGCCATATGAGCTAGATAATGCTGCATGGGAATGGACAGAGATGTGTCTGCACAGTTGTGAATCTGTACAATTTCCACAATGTCCCAAGGGTTTCCTGGAATTTCACTACGTAGGAATGTGGGCATAGATGTATGTTAGCAAAATACCAGAGATGTTAGACATGCCTGTGGACATTCCATTCCTGTGGACAAAATGCCTGTACAATTCCTAGAACTCTTGCAAACTGCACACAATACTGTACCATTAGGCTCCTCCTGAGGCGTCGCCAAAAAATAGTACACAAAAGGCACTAATTCAGCACCCTGACTTGACTAGGTTAGGCCACACCGACTTAATTTTATGGATGACATCCGCACACGCATTGATTTTCGTCTGTACTAAAAAAAAAGATAAAGATCACGTCCTCTGAGGCTCTGTCCTGGCTCTAGGCCTGGGTACTCCATGGTAGTTAGCGACAATACGGAGCCGGTGGTAACTGGAGGACGGCACCAAGGCTGCTGAAGCTCCACGACTCAAGAACTCATCTGATTCAGTACATACGTACAATGCCGATTCATAAAATCCACAATCCGCTGTGGGGAAGATAGACGACCAGGATTGGTGCTGTCCTTGGTGCTGATTATGACATTCTACAAGTACCTGCTAGATGGCGTTTCAACACAGTATAACCGCTTCTAGTTCGACACAAGCCACGTCAGATGCGACATTTTATTAGTCCTTAACAGTGCTTCCAAGTCCTGTTTTTCAATGAATCAAGTGAAGAAAAGGGTGCTCAGTGCCTTTCTCGAGACCAAAACATTGAAGCGTGGTGTGGGTTTGAACACATACAGAACTTTACATTTCAAGTTCAACAATCCAAACCACAATGCCAAATTACTAATCTCCAAGCAGATCGATCTTTCGATCAGCTTGGAGTATCCAGTTGGCCAAAAGACAGTATCCATTGGCCAACGGAGTGTCCATTAGCCACCGAAGATCTGCCGGTACTCGGTTGGCTAATGGATACAGGACGGCCAATGGATACAGGATGGCCAATGGATACTGCCTTTTGCCACCCAACCGAAAGATCTGCTTGGAGATTAAAGTATGCTGTGGGGACGCCGGCCACGCCAATGCACCCAGTCTGTAAACTCTCTGTTTTCATCATGATTTCTATAAGCTAAACGATTTAGGATTTTCCATTTCTAAAATGGAACAGACCAAACTACATGTAGAGAGCTGGTGAGAAGAGAAGCAATCTTTCTGTCTGCTGAACAATTATTCTACACTTTGCTACTGAGATCTAGTTACACACTGTTGTAATGGTCATTAACTCAATCATGTACCTTTCCTATGACGTCATGGTGCCTTCGTCCCGAATTTCTAAAGTTTGTGTGTGTGTGTGCTTGCGTGGGTATGTGTGTCAGGTAAAGGGAAGCAAAATTGGATTTTCAGTCATATTTCTGGCCATTTTCAAAAATGTACTAAGTCGATTCAAGCCCATCCTATATCATACTGATATCTGTGAGGCAAAAATGCAAAACGCTGGCGGACAACGGTTGCTTGTTTAGTATCGAAGCCTGTCCTATCTCACCTGCTCACCGCTCACCCGGACGCCTGTCCTATCTGCAGATATAAATAAAAAATCAAGGGACACCTCACGTTGCTTGTTTTTGAGCTTTCAAACGATTATGAAAGCATTATGATGATGCGATGATCAAAATGTGCTAATTCGGAAAAGTTAGTAAAAACTAATATTCGACAGATTTCCTACTCAGTGATTATCTTTTTTTTTGTTTAGCCGTCCTGAAATTGCAATATGAGATGACTTAAATTTTATGGAAAGGTCATTCCATTTCAATTTCAGAATGTGATGATATATTGAGTGATTCAACGTAATATGTAACGGGACTTAGTGAGTCATTGTCATCTCAATATAGTCTTATAAATAAATATATATATATATATAATGTAATAATTGGCACTACCGGGTGGCTAGACAATACAAAGTAACTGATGGAAAACAGAGGATGATAAAGTTGTGTGAAAATATTGGAGTCTGGGGTTCTTCCCCGGGTCAACGTTTTCTACACCAACAACCAAACAAGAAACCAGCCATCCAGCAAGTTAACATACAAACGACAAAACAAACAACAGCTGAAAAATTAACTCGACTTTCCAATACACGTGAGTTTAACTTGAATTTGCCAACAGAAGGTCAAGATGTGTATTGATTACGTCATGGTTTACCTCGAACCTCGTTCCCAGTATTCCGTGCCAACCAAAACAAGTATGGCGGCGATTCGCCGGGCTGGGCTGAAAATGAATAAATCTGCGGCTTAAAATCGGTCAAGAAATTTCCGACAAGCTTTTCTAACGCTACAGGGTATAGTATAGGGATAGTCGCGGTCGCAGGATCGAGTATAGGATGTAGATTTAGTCAAATTCTGAGGCGACGTTCATGCGTTCAAAATATCGTCTGATTCCGACTGGCGGCCATGATGACAGAATCGAACGTGTCGCACCGCTTCCCCGACCACTGCGCCACGGTGCTGCGGCGGCTGTGCGAGCTCCGCCGTCAGGACGTCCTGTGCGACGTCACAGTGAACGTGCAGGGGAAAAACTTCAGGTATTCCTCCGATCTTTCCTCATTTCCCCATCTTACCGAATGAATGAATGACAGGTAAACATAACCCCAGAGGGGCGGGGTCATTGACCTACTTAGCGGTATTTAAATGAAACATAACAAATGTAATTAAAGACACGCGACCTTAGGTCACGCCTACCCCATACACTCTATCCGTATTTATTATGTAAATAGTTGTAAGGATGTTCGTTCTAGGAAATGTAAATAAGGGGAAATACAAGAGCCCCCCCCCCTCAAAATTATATTTTCATGTCATAGATCTCAAACGTTTCTAACCTTCCCAAAGTCACATTGATAGACGGAGGGTTGGGTAGTTTTTCATGACAAGTCTATTCTGGTTTTTCCCAGTCCACCCGTCCTTGTCAATACTCATTTGAAGTTCTATGCTTTATTATATTAACATGGACAGAATGCATGTAATTCGACCGTCTAATATACAGAAATATGTCAAACTTTACAAATACATTATTGGAGGCAAATGATGGAGACAAGTTGCAGTGTGACTTCACATATTTTTAGCAATGGCAAGGAAATTTTCACCTTTTTTTTAATGTCAAGGCTTGAAATACTCTGCACATGTGCAGGTACCATAATGTTGAAAATTTCCTTTACAAGACAAATCTTACCTGTACCACATATGGTTTAGGAAGTACAAATGTATAGATCACATCTAGAGCTGTTCAGAAACCATTGCCATTTTTTTTATACTTCATGAATCATAGGTCGGTGCTAACAGTCAATGCAGCAAATACAAATCCACATACACCTATACACATATACCACATACAACCTACTAGTAGTATAAGTATATTTGAACCCGCAGTACATGGACCAGTGCAGGTTAGGTAAAGGTAGACATCAGAAATACCTGAACAGCTCCAATTTTACCTGCACTAACCTGCATATACCCAGTACATGGACCAGTGCAGGTTAGGTGCAGGTAGACATCAGAAATACCTGCACAGCTCCAAGTTTACCCGCACTAACCTGCATATACCCAGTACATGGCCCAGTGCAGGTTAGGTGCAGGTAGACATCAGAAATACCTGCACAGCTCCAATTTTACCTGCACTAACCTGCATATACCCAGTACATGGACCAGTGCAGGTTAGGTGCAGGTAGACATCAGAAATACCTGCACAGCTCCAAGTTTACCCGCACTAACCTGCATATACACCCAGTATTTCCAGCCCTATTTGTCTCATCTCTCCTCTTTGTGCAAAAAATTGATTTGTTAACTTGAAAGGGCAAATCCACTGTTCTTCCTTCCATTCTATTCTAGATGTCATAAAGCCATCCTGGCAGTATGCAGTGGGTATTTCCGAATGTTATTTGCTGCCAATGACAAGAATGCGAGCATTGTGCTACCTGGTGTGAATGCCAATGCCGTGGAAGACATCTTAAACTACATGTACACTGGGGAGCTCCAACTTGAAACAGAACACATGACAGCCTACCTGGATGCAGCAAGCTACCTCGAGATTCCCGCTATCATGGAATTGTGTGATGCAGTTTACAAGAACACTGCCAGCCACACATCTCCTGAAGACGCCATGATGCGCTTCTCTGACCGTAACTTGTTCACCGCATTTGGTGCCAAAGGCACATGGCACGATCAGGAAAGAAACAAGAAGACAGACAAGGAAGATTTCACATGGAACTTTGTCAACACCTCAGAGGGCCAGATTGCCATACTTAAGGACGTGAAAGAAGGAGATGATGCCAAGAAAATTGACAACAAGCAGTCTAGCGATAAGGTCTTAAGATCAGAAGAGAACAGCAGTCTGATCATACAATCCCAGTGCTCGTCACAAGAAGGCAGTAGTTTGGGTTTGGTTGCCAAAGCTGATTGCAAGGATCCTGCTGTGAAAGGCAAACCAGGAAAACGAAAGACCTTGAAAAAGTTCAAGCTGAAAGAACTCAAAGTAAAACTAGTACCTCTTTACAGCGTTAGGAAGAAGAAGACTCAAGGAGGTGCAGAGAGGGAGGAAGAACAACAAAAGGAGTTGGGAAGTAGCAGTGCATCTTGCTCCTTGGAGACAGTTGAAATCACAAAGTGGGTTGACCCTGAGAATGTATGTGACAAACAGAGTGGGGATTTCTGGAACCAAAGTGATGAGGACAGATCAGGTAGGCAAACAGAAGATCAGTGTGCATTGGACAGTGTCGGGGAGGTTTCTATACATTCTGTATCCGAGGACTCGTCTCGGGACCAAGACTTTGGGACACTAGGGGGTGAAACGGACAGGAAACCAAGACTGCTCAAGATTGACGTGGCCTCCTTAACAGGAGGAGGAAAAAGAAGGAGCAAAAGAGAGCCGAGCGCGACCATGACATTTCTGTCGAGCCCCGGTGGCCAGTTTGACGGTAACACCAGCACGAGCTCCAGCAGTAACAGCTCCCCTGATCCAACGGTTTCTGATCCGCTGGGCAAGAGGCGCACCTGTAGAATCTGTCTCCTCACCCTCCGTGACCAGGAGGAAAAGTCCCTACACCTCCACACCGTCCACTTCGACCGCTTCACCAACAAGTGGCAGTGTCCCTACTGCAACAACAGCTACACCGCCAGCAACAACCTGCAGAAGCACTGCATCAAGGAGCACGGGCTGCCGGCCAGCGCGCCCAAGGGGGAGCGCTGCCGCTGCCTGATCTGTCACGCTCGGTTTGACAGCCAGGAGGAGAAGACTCGACACCTCCACGCCGACCACTACAACCAGCAGGCGCAGAAGTGGGAGTGCCCCTTCTGTAGTCACTCCTACACCGCCAACAGCAACCTCAAGAAACACTGCAACAAGGTGAGGCAAGGGAAGAATAAAGAAATAATTGGATGAATGCATGGTAGAATGAAGGAAGGAAGGAAGGAATGAAGTAATGAATGAATCATTGAATAAATTTGAATGAATGAATGGTTTTATTAGCACTAGAATTACTGGTTTTCTATAACAAATGTTTTAATAAAGTATTTGAGTAAGTCAAAATTATTACAACCACAACCAATATCACAGTCACAGAATCAATATGCTGTGGGATAGGATTGGTTTAACCTACTACATTAAGGGGGCACACCCCAATTTATTTGGATTCGAAGCTTTTGGTTTCTATTCAAAGCTGCACACCCTCAAGTCTAGCAACCGTCTCTGCCGTTGAATGATTTGGAAGGAGAATAACTATATATAGGATAGAAGGTTATCTCTTCATCTGCAAACCAACTTAGTTTGATTTCTTCAACCTCTTTAATTTTGGTAAAATCAACAGGAAAAAACATTATTTTCACTCCAAAATTAATGCACAAAATTGGGAATTTTTGCATAGGATTATCCTATAGAAAAAATTTTCCAGCAGAAATGACATGCTGGCAGAAAGACCCAAACGTTGACTATACCCAAGTAAATTATAAAGAAAATCCTAGTACTTAGAATTATTTTAATCGTCCATGGTGTGAGGGGTAACCGTTGCGAATTGACTCTCAGGAAGCTGCAGCACGAAATCTGGGTCAAACCGACAGGTTACGTAGGGTTTCTCTTTTTAGCGAACGCCCACGAAAGCCCAAAAATTGTCGCACGAATCTTAAAATTTTTTGTGTGGTCATGTCCAGAGTGTGCTCCCGGGTGTCCATGCCAAGTTTGAAGCGAATCCATCGAGCCGAACTTAAATAAATCGAAATTTACTGGTTTTTTTCTCTTCTTGGCGAACGCCCACTTTACTTCCGGGTTCGCTGCGAACGCCCACTACTCTTTGCAAAGTTTCGGCCCTCGCGCAACGCCGGCAAAATCCACCACCACAAATATGTTCCTATATGCCTCCCCTGAATTTCTGACAAGTTTCCGTGCTTTACGAGCTTTTAAAGTACCCATTTTTTGACAAAATATGCGCTGCGACGAGCTCGCCGCCTCGGCGTATACGTTTCACCTGGTCACATGACTTGCGGTCGGGGACTGTTCGATAATTTCATGATCAGCGGGAGAGAGGACAGGAAGGGCAGAAAAACGCAATCTACCGCACAAAAGGGGCAGAACTTCGTGTTTGTAACATCAAACATAAATGATTTCCTTTCTTACATAATTTTCACCTCGGTTCTAGTAGTGACACCGCCGAATAAAGTACGCACTTTTGAAAACTTTTCAAAATACAAAAAGTACCTTATTTGGGGTTTTCCCCGACAAATCCAACGACTACCGACGAATATAGCGAAAACCGGCAAGGAGAATTGCACTACATCGATTCGTACATAAAATGTCGGATGATAATGTTGACGCGTGAAAATAAAGTTAAACTTTAATAAATGAACGTATTTCATGTGTGTATCGTCGATATTGACACGAAGTTGCGGTAAAACGAGAAGACGCAAGGTAAGATAATCTAGGTCACTCACGTCGCGGTGCTCGGTCATGCTGACGGGATGGTCGCCAGCCAGCCGCCGATATCTCAGTGGAACCCCGGCCGAAAATAAATACCCCCGTAAGTATGAACGCAATTCTATTAAATAGATTTATGAGTGGTAAGATGGTAAGATTTAAAATGGTCCGCAAGTTGTCGTAACGTAGTGAATAACGTTACTAGTATAACATGACAGTTGTGCTTCAACTGATGGTCAGTTCTAATGCACTTTCGGCTATAGTTAAACACAGAAATCTTCAACAAATGTTATAGCCATGCCGTTACAAAGGTTCAAATGACACAAATCTTTTTACTTCGTATCACAAATCTATTCAAATATAAACAAATGCCGCAGAAAATTATTTTGTAGCGGGACTATACCAGCCAGTATTACGTTAAAATGATGGGTAGATGTACAAGGCATGGCCTTACAATGATAGGGTTTTTTGGGCGAAGTCTTTGAAATCTTTTGCTGCCCGCCGGTGGGTGGGGCCCGTGCGCGTGCTGCTGTGGGCGTGACGCCGCTGTGTCTGATCAGGACGTGCCGTCGTCTTGACAACACAACGTGGGAAGCAAGCGGCCGGAAGCATTCAATGCTGGAAAGTTTTTATTCCTTTGATTTTGTGACATGAGCAGTAGTTTACTAAACGAGATATTTTTCAAAAACTCTTTCGCTCGCGTCTCAGCAGTCTCGTTGTTGTTTTGGGTTCGGTGTCAAATTTTTAAATACGGTAGCACATTAAAATTCCCCGCCCGGTCGAACTTCTCCGCCTCGATCATTTGTTGCTCACTGATGGGCGGACAAAAAGCGCGGACGTGGTTTACAACGAACGTGGCGAGCGGCGCCCACAAAAATTTAAGGCCCCCCTCCGTACTGTAACGTTGCGTCTGTCTATAGTTCAGCAGAACAATTTTACAACATGGTAATTGTCGCCGGCGGTGTCACTACTAGAACCGAGGTGAAAATTATGTAAGAAAGGAAATCATTTATGTTTGATGTTACAAACACGAAATTCTTCCCCTTTTGTGCGGTAGATTGCGTTTTTCTGCCCTTCCTCCCTCCCGCTGATCATGAAATTACCGAACAGTCCCCGACCGCAAGTCATGTGACCAGGTAGAATGTATATATGCCGAGGCGGCGAGCTCGTCGCAGCGCATATTTTGTCAAAAAATGGGTACTTTAAAAGCTCGTAAAGCACGGAAACTTGTCAGAAATTCAGGGGAGGCATATAGGAACATATTTGTGGTGGTGGATTTTGCCGGCGTTGCGCGAGGGCCGAAATTTTGCAAAGAGTAGTGGGCGTTCGCAGCGAACCCGGAAGTAAAGTGGGCGTTCGCCAAGAAGAGAAAAAAAACAGTAAATTTCGATTTATTTAAGTTCGGCCCGATGGATTCGCTTCAAACTTGGCATGGACACGCGGGAGCACACTCTGGACATGACCACACAAAAAATTTTAAGAATTTTTGGGCTTTCGTGGGCGTTCGCTAAAAAGAGAATGCGTATTTGGGTGACCAGGTAGAATGTATATGCCGAGGCGGCGAGCTCGTCGCAGCGCATATTTTGTCAAAAAATGGGTACTTTAAAAGCTCGTAAAGCACGGAAACTTGTCAGAAATTCAGGGGAGGCATATAGGAACATATTTGTGGTGGTGGATTTTGCCGGCGTTGCGCGAGGGCCGAAATTTTGCAAAGAGTAGTGGGCGTTCGCAGCGAACCCGGAAGTAAAGTGGGCGTTCGCCAAGAAGAGAAAAAAAACAGTAAATTTCGATTTATTTAAGTTCGGCCCGATGGATTCGCTTCAAACTTGGCATGGACACGCGGGAGCACACTCTGGACATGACCACACAAAAAATTTTAAGATTCGTGCGACAATTTTTGGGCTTTCGTGGGCGTTCGCTAAAAAGAGAATGCGGTTACGTACGTTTGGCGCGCAAGAATATCCGGAATTAAGGTTCAAAGCCAAAATCAATTTTCACCTGAAAATCACCATTTCTTACACTCCATGTTAATGTTAATGATATTAATAATAATACATCATGCAATTTATCAGAAATGTCACCTCAAAACCCTTCCGTCACTACGCACTACCATGGACCCTGGTCGCGGAACAATTGGGGTGTGTACTGTTAAAGGAATGACCAGAAAATTGCCAGTTTTACCACCCTAAAATTGCATTGGATGCCTTTGAATTAGGTGCATTACAAGCTGTGCTTGGTGGAGTGTCCTGTTTGTGGCAAAGAGCTGAAGGACAAGCAGCGTCTGAAAGAGCACATGTACTCTCACACCGGAGAGAAGCCCTACATGTGTAACACCTGCAGCAAGAGGTTCACCTGCCATACAGGTGAGAACGCAGGGCTCAAAGGCCGTGTTTATGTGAAGTCACCCAAACCGCGATTTGGGTAACTCACATTCCTCACATCTGGTCCACGTGCCATACATTCCTTTTAAAACGTGCCCGATCACGATTCTCGGAAACTACATTCATTGTTGTTTGATGAAAACACACAAGGTAGCGTGTCATTATTGTCAGAGGTTAACGACCTGCTTGCTGATGCCCCCCTCCCAGCATATCTCGGCCGAATGCCAACGTAGTCCCGCCAGAGGCGGTGAAGCTCGTCCTAGAACGGACACATTATTTGACCATTACTGCTCTTTAAGTTGCTGACACGTAAAATTTGGTATTGCATATAAATAATGAAATATCACCCGTAACCCATGACCAAGTGAAGTCACATTGAAATCACATTGCGTTCAGACGCAAATCACGATGCAGGAAAACCAATTCAAAAGCACCTCTAGAAGTGGCTTGGGATCAATCGAGGCGCTTTCAATGTAATTTGGAGCGTTCAGATGGAGCCACTTGAAACCGGCTTCGGGGTAAACCACATTAGCGCCTTGGGTGACTTCACATGAACACGGCGAAAATTAGGGCTGCATACCTAAACATTATCAGGATATATACATGTATACCGGTAGGTACAGATGCTGGTACAGAGATTTAGGTACCTGTGCCGGTACCTGAACAATTTGACAACATATTTTTCTGAAGTTCCCAAATAACATTAGAAACACTTATAAACTTGACAGAATCTTTATTCAAATAAAAAAAAAGGACAGAACAAAGCAGCCCTTACAGTACCGTTCGCGTTATAGTTACCCTAACGGCCGTTACTAACGCGTTTTTTTTCCGTTACTTTTCCGTTACTTTTCCGTAAGTTTTCCGTAACTTTTGCGTAAGTTTTCCGTTACTTTTCCGTTACTTTTCCGTTAGACTTCTGCATTCATATGCAGGCCGCGGTAACATCACAGAATAATGGGAGGAGTACTAATTTACCTCATGCGGGGCGGGAAATTACCGATACACACCGCTGGAACAGCGGAAGGAACGTTGATCTAGCCTGCATTTTACTATATTGTAACGTTTAAAACGTTTTACGATCACCGGCGCAATTCAATTTGATAGACATTTTCTTTTGTCACTGTTGCCCAGGCAAGCGTTTCTATAGTTTGTCAACTTTGTTTTGCTGTTTTTCTCTGTTAACTTATTTTACCACCGAATAAGCAAACCTACAGTAGATGATCTGAAGTTATAAATGCCCCGGTCCGCCGTACATAATAGGCGGCGGGCGTGAGGTAACGTTAGGGATGTGCAAAAACATCGTGGAAAATTCCCATGACACTCGAAAAAAGGCAGCATATTTACACGTGCCCACCAACATTTTTATGGCTAATTATTGACCAGTTTTGGGGAGTTTTGTTATGTCCTTGGAGTTTTGTTTAGAGTGGGACGGAAAGCCGTGCCGCCACTCCGACTCCATGCACTTCCGTGTTACATTACGTTGTATGTGACCAACAAAATTACGCCAAAGGCACCACAAATCCACATGTACATATATTTTTTTTCCCGAAAATTCTTTTGAGTACGCATTTCGTTCACTAGGATGTTGCTAATTAGTCGTAGAAATAAGGTAGAAACCAGCGTAAATGTGGCTCTCTCGAGATCATTTCGCGCGGGGAAGGGCGCCCCAGCATGCAACGGGCTTCGTTCTAGCCAATCACAGCGCAGGTCATCTAAGGTGAACCAATCAGAGCGTAGCTACTTGCATATTATAATGAGCATGCTGCACACAGGGAGGCAGCGGCCAGGGCGACCGGCCCTGAGTGCGCGGGAAATGTGTTTTGCAACTATATTTTTACGGGGATTTTCTGACGTTTGACGCTGACTTTGGCACGATATGATCGCACTACCATGTACACGCTACCGTAGGCGGCAAATGAGTGGTCATTTTTATATAATCGTCGAGAAATTTTGGCGTTATGCACCCGGAAGTGAGCCGATCTCAGTTTGCGTTCCCTCGATTTTTGACAGTTTCCCCCCTCAAAATAAGAAACAAAACTACCGCTATTAAATAGAACCATGTATTACAATTATCATTTCAACATGATAGATCTATTATATATTCCTTTATTAACTATGATATCATCATGGTTGTGGAAAGTCCTCAGCTGGCGAACCGAGTCCTTGACGCCGGGAGTGACGGTACATTTTACCGTGAGTATTAAAGCCGCTAGTACTAGTAAGAAGCCGCGCGCCTTACAAAAATTATAATAATTTTCTTTGAGTCAAAAACCGCCGTGAATTTAAGGCATGAGTTACCGATTTATATTTCTTCTACGGCAGATATTTCTTGTTTCGTCACGTCCCATGACGTCCTGTGAGAGCGGTAGGCCGCCGCTGGTACAAAATGTACAAGACATCGTCTGCCCACTGCTACACTTTGTTGACATACATCAATGTATTACACAACGTAATTTTCCGCTAGAAATAACTATAGAATAGCATTAAAAGATAGCACAATTCGCTTCACACAGTCGACACATGGATAAACCACAAAGTTATTTTACGAATCACATGTCCACTTGCCTCTGGTGCTGTTATTTTTCAAGGGGCAACATCGCAACACATTAGCGGACGCCCCAGGAGGTGGCAAATTGCTATTGTCTTGTCGGCGCGCAAAACAAACATGAAATCCGACCCTATCACATTAACGCAAACGGTAACGCGTTAGAAATAATTTCTGACGATTTTCTAACCATTTTCTGACGAAAATCTAACCAAATACTGACGATTTTCTAACCATTTTCTGACGAAAAAATAACTCGTTAGTAACGGGGTACCCGGTTAACTATAACGCGAACGGTACTGTATGTCTTCAAACAAAACAGAACCATGTGGATTGTTTCTTGTTGAATTTCTACAGTACTACATGTAGCTGTCTCTGAAAGATCTGTGATATGTATTAGTTGTGCCCCCTGTATGTGATTTTAGATAAAAGAAATCCAGGCTATTTTGCTGGTTGAGAGGTTTGTAGGCTGTGAAATAATCAGCAAAACTTTTATGTTTAATTTCCCCTTCTTTTATAAATACCCTGTAAGTTTGAAAGAGTTTTTGGACTAAAGGAAAAAGGCTACGCATGATATGTTAAATGTTTATTAGGAATCTCCATTAGCAATACAAAGTTTGTTTTCTAAAAAGTCTTTCTGGAGTCCTTTACATTTAAAAGATTCAATAGCTACAATTATATACACATGCGATGTGTTTGACATGTTAGTTTATGTTCATGTATGTATGTATGTATGGCTTATTTTTAGTATGAACAAATAAAACATTACAATCAATACAAGAACAAACAGCTTAAATAGCAGTTTATCATGCAATAACAATCTACACGCGTACGTAGGCCTACTTACAACGATTAAAGCTAGCTTAAATAACATAATTATAATACAGTGGAAATACATGTTGCTGACTGAGAGTCTAATAGGCACTAAACGAAAATTTCGTGTCTTTTTGTTTTCGACCGCCCTGTAGGTTTGAAACGTCACATCCTGCTCCACACCGGCGAGCGGCCCTTCCACTGCAACATCTGTGACAACAGCTTCCGGCAGAAACGCCACCTGAAGGAGCATATGTTGCGCCACTCGGACGACAAGCCCTACCGCTGCGAGACCTGCGGGCAGCAGTTCCGCCACAGCACCGCCTACCGCAACCACCGCTACCAGCACACCAACCAGCGCCCATGGCTCTGTAAGCTGTGCGGCGCCGGATTCATCAAGAAAATCAACATCAGGAGACACCTCGCCACCAAGCATGGCATCGTGGATGAGGAGGACAAAGGGCAGGGGTCAGAGGGCACAGGTCAAGTGGGGTTAGATGGCATAGGTCAAGTTGCATCTGAGGGCATAGGTCAAGTTTTGTCTGAAGATATACATGTAGGTGAAGTTGTATCTGAGGGCAAACTTGGTAATGTTGGATCAAAGGGTCAATGGGGATCAGAAGGTAAAGATGAAGGGGAATCAGACAAGGCAGCTGTGCTGTCCATGGGGGCAGGAGATTTGCCTGGGCTGGACCCAGGTGGTGTTTCCATGGTAACCAAAGGTGGGGTTACCATGGGAACCCCAGGTGAGACAACAGAGCATGGGGAGGGGGGTGAGGGAAGTGTGGAGGAGAGGAAGAGCATGATGGCTGTTGTAGGACCTGCAGTGGACAACATGTTTGAGGATATCAACCCCTGGGGAAAGTAACTAGGACTGAGCCATGATACACCTCTGGTTAGAGAGTTGTACCACCTGATGTTTATTGTTGCTTTTGTTGTAATGTTGAGTTTGTTAGAAGCTGTACAGTTACAAAAATGTTGCTGACGAAATAGTTTACCACAAATCTGCATTTGATGGATGTGTTGTCTCAGTGGTTGACAACTGTTTAGAGTTACACAATGTACGTCATGTATCGTTTGGACTTGTTGGAGGAAAATGCTAATGGGAATGGTGGGGGATCAGTACAATGTATTATTTTGTTAGCCTTTTTTTCCCAAAAGAAAGAGATGTCCAAATACGTAAAAGCCAAACATGCAATTGCTGGGCATTAAGGATGTACACATGTACATTCCAATGAGTTAACACAAGCCACATTCACACTTCTCAAGACAGGTCCATAGATGATAGAGGTTTTCAAGATTGCCATGAGGACATATTTTGTATCTTCTCCTTTTTTTAAGTTTCATTCCACATTTTACAAATGACTACAAGTTATTTCATATTCAGTTTTAAGTGCCAAAATGAAATTGAGTCAATAAGATAAGACATTAAAAATAGTCTTCTCAAGAAAGATGAAAAATGATTCTAAGTTAAGGTAGATCTAAATAAAACTTTTGCCATGACAATGTTTCCAAGGAAGTCTTAACTTCACTGTCAGAGTTGTTCCAAAAAGTTTAAAGGTCAGTTTACACACTGCAAGCTTACCAAGTCTATTTTAAAGATAAATGTTGTGAAAGTCAAGTTTTAGATGCCCATTTATATATATTTATTTATTCTTTGTGTAGAAAATTTAAAGAGATTACAAATTACTGTTAAAGTTAAAGATTTATGTAGATTTCAAATAGCTTCTTTAGCAGTGATATTTAAATTAAACCTGTCTATCTGTTGAAAGTGCAGAATGATTGTAGCTAGTCTTTAGACGAGTCTCCACCAGAGTAACAACACAGGTTCAAAACTGTCATTTTTAGTCAAATAGAGACTAAATTTGTCATGGTTGTCAAATGAAACCTGATCTGCCCAGTCGGACCCTATTTTTGTTGAATTCTTCCATCCTTACCCCCTTAAGGAAGGCCTGGTGGAGGCTACAGGCTGCCCTGACATGATTGTTGCATTCTGGGATTTTATGCCAAGTCTTTCTGCATGTGCTCCTGTCATCTTGGTATTACAAAGTCAATAAAGACATGGAGGGAGAACATTACACAAAATAAATCAAGCAACATTTTATTACTGGATAAATTCTCTAAAGATTCAGACATCTGCTATCTATCTGTCATCATTCTGAGCCAGTCACTGATAAAAGATTTCAGATGCTCAATGAAACGTCTGACTCGGCTATGGCCGTGTTTATGTGAAGTCACCCAAACCGCGATTCGGGTAACTCACATTCCTCACATCTGGTCCACCTGCCACACATTCCTTTGAAACCGTGTCCGATCACAATTCGCTTGAGCTACATTTATTGCTGTTTAATGAAAAGACGCAAGGTAGCGTGTTATTAATGTCAGAGGTCAACGACCTGCTTGCTGATGCCCGCCTCCCAGCGTATCTCGGCCGAATGCCGACGAAGTCCCGCCAGAGGCGGTGAAGCTCGTCCTAGAATGGACACATTATTTGACCATTACTGCTTTTTAAGTTGCTGCCATGTAAAAGTTGGTATTGCATATAAATAAAGAAATATCACACCGTAATCCATGACCAAGCGAAGTTACATTGAAATCACATTGCATTCAGACGCAAATCACGATGCGGGAAAACCGATTCGAAACCACCTCTAGAAGTGGCTTGGGATCAAGGCGCTTTCAATGTGATTTGGAGCGTTCAGATGGAGCCACTTGAAACCGGCTTTGGGGTAAACAACATGTAAAGCGCCTTGGGTGACTTCACTTAAACACGACCTATGTGTGACAGACTAGTCTTAACTGGGGGACTTTGCATAGAAGGTCACTTAATAATTATATATAATTGTACCTGCATTTTTTCAGGCTGGCAGATGTACATGTACATGAATGTTGTGACTGTGACATTTTAACTTCGTAGAAAATGTGAACAGGGCAAAGCTGTTTACACTTCTCAGTGTTGTATGGCATATTGTTTTGATGTTTGGATACTTTGCAATACCCGTAAGACATGCATGACTGCAGTATTATTATGTGCCAAACATTTTGTGCTATTAGCTTTATTTTGCCAGTTTGTCAGATATGTTTTAGCTGGAATTAGAAAACTAAGTTTACTACATATTTTTGTGTGAAGTTTGTGTTTATACTACCAATAATTATGCTCCATATTATTGTCAAGTTTGTCAACTAAATGTTGCACCTTAATATTTGCAATATGTGCATATAAGCACACTTTGTTTACATCTACCAGTTACTGTAGATAAATGGGGAGTCATCTTCTCAACCATACACCTTCAAGCCTGCAAGTTAGCACGAAAGTTCATCTGAGTTGGTAAATGATATAATGAGAAATAAACTGTTCTCCATTCTCCAAAGGAATTTGACTCACCAAAATTTTCAAGCAAATCTGTTGATAAAGATAGCAGAGAATTGGTTTATTTCTCATTATAAAGCTATCATGAAAGTTACATAGGGCACATATTATAGTTTATTATTGATAAATATTGTATTTGTTCTGGTGCCATAAATCCCCACTGTCAAATAAGGCATTATTGCAAGCAATGCAAGATAATTCTTAGCGATAACAAATCTGAAATCAAGTTTGAACATGTTGCTCATCACGGTACATGCTTTACTACAAACACAGCCTACCCATTACTGTAGCGTACACTCATATACCAGTCCTAGCCAGGACAGGCCATGCATGCGTCAAAAAAATTAAAATTAGATGTATGCTGACACCAAAGACTGGAGCTCATGCCATTTAATAAAAAACATACAAGTACAAAGTTGATAATTTGTTATACTGTCAAGGATAGCCTGCATACATTTTGTACATTTTTAAAGTCTGTTCAGTGGAATAGTTCTTTGTCAAGTTTAATAGCACGTGTTAAGTCCATCTGTGTGCCAAGATGTACATGATGTACGGTTACTTGACACTTTTTCTTTTGGAAAAAGGTTAGGCCACACCAATTTAATTTGTTCCTTCTCGGATCACATTTTTTTCCAATTTGCAAAAAAAAAAAAAAAAAATGTTCTAAATGAACTGCAAAATGCTCAATGAAAGACATATTTTGTCCCCAACGGTTGAAAAAAGTCCTTTTCTTCCTAGTTCTTTTAAGAACTTAAAAGTTTTCCAATATAACAATGCAATTTTGTTCCATTAAAAGTTCAAAATCTATCGTTTTGATTAAAAACTAGCCTGGCATGTTTACTTCATGGCTCATATTGTAACATTTCTGGCTATCATGGGGTGCCTGGGTGTTGTTTTTTTTTACCGTCACTCCTGATTTTTTGTGAAAAAAATCCGAGAAACAACAAATTAAATTGGTGTGGCCTTATGTTCGTGTATCCTTTCAAGTTTCATGCACTAAACTGTAGTGATGTTTCAACTCTTAGCCTTGAAAAGTTACAGGATTGTATAGTGCCGACTTCTTACTTCCATGCACTCCAGATTTAAGTTAAAAAGTTGCACACAATAAATGTTCCATCACTCCTCATGTTGTCTTTTTCTCAACATACAGCTAATCTTTTTCAAAAGTTCTTTTCAAGTTTTTGTTAAAAAAACAACAACAGACAAGACAGTTACACATAAAATTTCCATCATTTTATTTGTCTTCCAGCTTGGTACAAAATCAGTCTATGATAGGGTAGTTTCTGCTTTGATTCCATTCGTCAGTGCAGGGTGACTGTACAGGTATCTACATTGTTTACAAAAATAGACTCTCAACCTATCAACACGACATCTAGTATAGCTACAATGTATTGCAGATAGAACAGTCTGAATGCACATGTACACATTCAAGCTTGTACACATGAGACATACTACAATTACATCTTTCTATGTCCATAATGTTCCCACTACCAAAGAGCTTCTATTTGAAGCTCCTTGCCACTACATACATGTAGCGTCTGATGTTCAAAGACCCATATGATTGTGTTACCAAAAAAAAAAAATGTCAGTTGTAATGCAGCACAGTGCAAGTAGTTTGTGCACACAGTGAATGTTTGTCCACAAATAGCATCAAAACCAATCTGTGGGCAAATGCTCCAGGTGTACTCTTCTTGGACACAAAAATACAGGCACTGTATTCCACTGCTTTTAATCAAACATGATGACAGATTATGATAGCAGGAGCCTAATCTCCAAGCAGATGTTGGGTGCGAAAAAAAATTTCTACCTTGCCCTTCTTTCTGTATGAAAAACAGGACAACTTTGAGAATGAAAATACCTTTCACTTCAACATCTGTTTAGAGAGTACAGCCACTATTCCTCCCAGCAGCATTTGGAAGATCAGGGTCAAAAGATATTCAATATACATGTAGTAAATATGACTCCACACTGACTACAGATATTTTTCTGTTCTCTTTGTAAAAGAGATACATTATAGTAGATTCTATTTACATGACTACATTCCTAACTCCCATTGTTGTTTACATTTAATACCTGTAATAACGTCCACTGCAGTAAAACTTAAGAAACCCAAGCTGAATTAAATGCCATGACCAGTACTTCAATACAAAATGTAACAACAGTTACTAATATGGTCATTTAGTTAGTTTTAATATGTGGCATACAGATATCGGATTGGTCCCCTTGTAATTTTTTTTTTACAATTTTGTCTACAACTTTGATTCTGTATGACACCCTTTCATGACAGCAGCTTATAATTTTCCCATGCACTTAGCCTTGTACAGTGTTGACAAGTCTGTCTCACTGGTATTTCTAAAATGCTTATATATGGAGGAAGAACAAAATGGGGCCTTAGGGGAAAGGTGAAATTTTTCTTGGGCCTCAACTACTTACAGACACTAGTTTGTCCTTCTACTTTGTCAGGACATCACCAGAAATGATGTGTATAATCACTGACACTAGTTTTTCCCTAATACTGATTTGGACTAGTCCAATTTCAAGAAAATGATGCAACAACAAAACATGGTAGATACCATTCTAAACTAATTAGGGGTGGTCACATAAGCTTTGTACAGCAGGTTGATGGGCTATATTATTAAGTCAAATTTAGCCATTAAGACAAACTTTGCACTATCTTGAGAGTGAGAAACTTGTTTTTCTGACATGTACACCCAAACACACCATGAAAAAATGGTCTCCAAAACATGTAAGCTACCCGAGAGATATATATTACTAGACATAAAAGTTGTGACACTTGTACAAAATAATCTAGGGAAGACATTACCAATAACAACTACAAATCCATACTTAATCTATCATCAATTGTAACATTAACTTTCATAGAAAGAATACCACACAACTTACATACTATTCACAAAACTTGGTACTTCCAAGTACTCAAAAGTTCCTCCTATTTTACAATCTAGTACAAATGTACCTTATTCATGTAAAGACACATCCTGTTTGGAGAGCTTTTTTATATATAATAATCTGACAGCAACATTGAAACTGATCTTGAGTGGGGGAATTTGAAAGTTGGATACCAAACAGTTTAAAAAAAATTCTTTTCTAATCTTTGAGTCCAAACAAATCCTTCCAAGTATAAGTCTTAGCCAAACGCTTACTGATACATGTCATATGAAAAAGTTGTGTCTTTACTTGAAAGTAAAATATCTGACAACAAAACATTCTTTGGCACAGAAGTAAGTACACGCCTCAAATGCGATGAAGAAAAGCTATATACAAAGTCCCTGCCAACAGGGATGGTACTGAAATAATGCTGATTGTCAAGAGAAGCAAGGAGGCAGGAAACAGCGGAAAAGAGCCAGACTTCTCAACTAATGTTTTTAGTTTAAACTTACTAATAGGTTTTTCTGAGTATGACGTGTTCAAGATGTGTCTGATGTTTTGTCTAGAAAAAAAAATTGTAGCATCACTGTATGGTCTCTTTATGACAACCCAACAAAATATTGAATTGGGAGGTTCTTCCACATTTTGCAAAATGCTGTCCGTCTTTAACTCAAGGAAATAAAACTGTGTGACAGTAAAATAAATTTGCAACTCATGAGTGGCAACTGTAAAATACAAAGAGGCAAATGTTCTGGTTTCCCCTAAGTTTGTCTTTTAGCAGGCTCATCTTCATGCTGCAGTTGAGCATGACAAATCTACGACAACTTTTGTCAACCAAATATGTTCAGCTTTGGAAAACCTTAATTGATCCCAGTTATTGAAACACAGACCTCTACACAGTAGAGTTAACATTTCAGGTTGGACAAGAGTGACAAACAAGTTGTGTCCTGAAAGGTCTTGGTTTCTCATTAGTATTATTTACACAGAGTAGGGACAAAGCAGCGGTAGTCACAGCATTAGATAAGGAACAGAGTTTGTCACACATATTACATGTATGTACATGTACCCTGTAATATGAATGTCTTCTACCGGTATTGAGTGTAATCTGTATAGTATAATTTGAACCCTGTACAGTGTAACACTACAAATGTAGCTGTATGGTTAGAGGGCATTGAAAGTAGCTGACATGACTTGCATTACATGCTTTCGACAACTACTGATTCCAGAGCACTGCAACTCACATCTGCACATTTTGAACCAAACTTTGTTGCCAATAAAACATCTGTATGCATCTGTATCTGTATGATGTCTGTAAAGCCTGTAGACTTAAAATGATCTTGAGCTCATGAAAATAATCATAAACAATAAATGTATCTGGATTATGACCACACAATTTTCTACATACCATTGAAATTTCTGCAAAAAGGTCAAATGCTAGTACAGTACAGTAGTATAGTAAGTAAGTACTTGCTGTACATGTACAAGTAGTATGGTAGCCTCCAAAGCACTATCCAGTTGGTGTTTCAGAATCGATGCTACTCTGCTCACTAACTTCTTCAGTTACAAAACTCAAATGTTGTACAAAACAAGAGAACGGTATGTTGTCAGGAAAATAACTGCAATTTTAAAATATATTGACCAGAAAGTACAAGTCAGGCTGATGAGGGTCTGGTTACATTAATTATAGGACTTTGTGTGACTGAACCAACTGCCTTCTGAGAATTTTATGCCGAATTTTGTACAGTATATGCACGGTTATCCAATGGATGCCCTCTGCCTAAAATCACACAATGATCCTAAGGCCACACCAAGTAAATTTTATGGATGACGTCCGCGCGCGCATTGATGTTGGCCTGTTCCTTGAAAAAAAAGCAAGAAATTTCACTTCCTGTAACTATGACCAAAGAGTCACGACAGTGCCGCAAATCGTCAGATTGACGTGAAACCCGTAACGCAAAGAAAGTGTCCATCCTGTTTTCACTGTCCACTGTTCCTGACGTATTGCTGTTTTGATGATGAATAAAAGACTTCTTCCTTCTTACACTGTGTCACCTCATTCAATTTGTGTCCTAACATTTGTCATCTCTTACTATATTTCTAATCTAGGCATCTTGTTTTTTAGGGCCCTTCTTGTTTTTTTTCCGCCCTCTCGCATTAGATTTAGGGTCTCCAAAGGACGTCATCCATAAAATTTACTTGGTGTGGCCTGAGATAAATGTAACCAGTCCCTACGCTATCTGGCTGCAGAAGTTGCCTGATGTGGTGTGGTGTGGTGGGTGTGGTCCAGCAGACAGAAGCAGCAGTGCAGCTGCCACGTGGGGGGTCCAGGGGTGTGGCTACGTTGCTATGGAAACGGCCGGCCTCCCGGCCATCACCGTCATCACCTGTCATTGGCCACGTATTTGTTGGCGGAGAAGCCGTACTTTCGTTGCAAGTCTTTTTGGAATTCTTCCTTCAGAACCTTCAGACACCTACAGATGGAAATTTTTTCAGATACAAGTTAATATAATTTACAGTAATAACTACATGTATGCATAATACACGTGTGCACTTAGCTAACTACAATTATAGCATTAAGGAAACTTTGATAGAGCCCAATGGCCATGAAGTAGCTCAGAAAATGAAAGTCTACTTTTATTTGTAATAATGGCATTGCTCTTGAAGCATGTTCCAAAATCCAACGCAAACCAAGGGAATCCTTTTTTCTTGAATATTAAATTTGCATGTAAAAGAAAATATTTAACCTTAAACATTGCGTCACTGCTTAATAATATCCTCTATACTATACAGTATACTACATATTATTATACAGTATACTATACTATATTTACAGATCCAGAAAGGGAAGGCACTGCAGTAATCTGCTAAGTTTGCTGAGGGCAGACCTCAAGGAAAGAGGACTAGGACCATTGCGGTCAGAAAGAAAACTCCAGGAGCTCAGGAGGCTCGCGATGAATAGGACGAAGTGGAGAGAGCTGAAGAAAGACTGACTGATGCTGCAGCTCGGATGCTGAAGCTACTGCAGCAGCAGAATACAGTGGACTACTACTACTACTATACAGTAAAGCTGTGAAGCCGGCAAAAAAGCAACCTAAAGCCTCGGTCACAACCCGCTGTACGTGCTTTTTGTCCGTACGATTTTTGGGAGGCCGCGTCTGCCACGTTTTTTCTGAAAACGTGGGGAAGGAGTGGCGTTGACGCACATCACTCGCACGGTTTCGTAAGGTGTAAGAGTGTGGTCTGCACGCCACACCTGGCCGTGAACGGTTGCGTGCATTGTTCATTGCGCAAGTGGTAAGTGAGTTGTATGTGCTTACAACGTACGATCTCTGTGCGATTGCAACTTTACCATAAGGAGGCTGTACTCACACATGCTTCTTACGTACGGTATGTACGGGACACGCGCGTCGCCCGTACTCGCACGCACGGGTGGTGAATCCGCAGACCGCACGTAGAAAAAGTTTTACATGCACTTAAAGTCCTATGGTGTGTCTGCGTGCTCCCAAATCCATAGGATTCCGTACGGAGGCGGTACTCACCACGCACAGATCCCTTACGTTTGCCCATGTTTTTGCACGTAGACAGCACGCAGAAGCACGTACGGCGGGTTGTTACCTAGGATTAAAGGACATATCTAAAAAACCTGGGCTTACGTTCTGTACTGCTCGCTGGACCTGAACTTGGCGATGTCAAAGCTGGGTGCGTGCGGCATGTGGATGATGAAGGCATTGGGCAGGATGATGAACTCGTACCTGGGTAATCACATAGTTTTTATTATAGTTTTGTACCTAATGCAAGAAATCATTGACACGGCACTGGTCATTTCCTCACTTGAGGCCACACCAATTTAATTTGTTGGTTCTCGGATTTTTTTAGAAAAAAATATGAAGGAACAGGGCAAAAAAAAAATAAAAAGAGGTCTAAGCATCCTATTATAGCCCCAAATGCTACCATAGGAGCCATTAAGTCAACACAAAAGGCTGGGTTTATATTTTTATGTTTAAAAACAATGAATTTTGAACTTTTAATCAATCAAACCACTGCATTGATAGACGGACAAACTGTAACAACTAGGAAGAAAAGGACTTTCCTCAACTGTCGGGGGCAAAATATGAGCATATTTCAGTTGATCCAAAACCCAATTTTTTTTTTGTGGCAATTCACAAAAAAATGAAGAGCCCAATCCGAGAACCAACAAATTAAACTGTTGTTGCCTGAGAAAGAGTTACTAGTTGTCTCACCCCTGTGCATCCAGCTCCATGATGTGTGAGACTTTGTTCCAGCCAAACCCCACAAATCTGGTGTCGTACTCAGGCAGCTGGTCCTTACG